CAGCACCAGTGCTAGTAGCAGCAACCTGAGACGCCGCACTGTTCAGCGCCGAAACAGCCGCAGAACGGAAAGACGCATCGATGCTCGACGGGATGGCTGAGGCGTAGCTAGCAGCGGCAGCAGTACCGGCAGCAGCAGCAGACTCAATGCCCGAGAGGACAGAAGTGTATCCAACGACGGTGGTCCACGCGGTGAGACCGCTGCGGATGTCAGACCTGACAGAGGCAACCCTTGCGGTGGCGGCAGAAGCAGCGGAGGCAATGTCGCTGGTGAAAGCGGAAACTTCTGAGCGGAGGCTTGAGGCGGCTGCGGTGGCTTTGGACTCGATGCCGCTGCCGATGACGTTACCGACGTTACCAACAATGCTGGTGACACCGCCGATGGCGGAGGTCGCGGTTGCATAGGCAGAGCCAACATTGTTACCAGCAGAGTTGATCTCGTTGACGATAGAAGTGTTACTGATGGAATTGTTAGGGATTGTGTTTTCTTGTGGAAGGTGGGGTTTCTTTTTGGTTAAGAAATGACTTACATGATGTCCTTCTTCTGGACCTCAGCGCCCATCGCAGAGGAAAGGGCAGAAGTGAGGAGGAGAGCGGTGAAGAATTTGTACTGCATCTTGAAGTTTATGTGATTGATGAACGAGTGTTTCGTTGAAGGGCTGGTTGAACAGAAAGGTACAATTGGTGGTGGTGGTTGTGGTGGTACTGAACGATTGAGCTTTACGGTGGTGGTGGGAGTGGAATACTGGATAGGACTGCGGGGTGGACGGGACTTTATATCAATCAGTCCTCCCGGCCAGCCAGCAGCAGCTAGTCACACAAGCTCAGCAAATGTCAATGTCCACCACGCCACTCCACTCCACACACACACACTACACTACACAGGTGTACCTAAGTCATCGTCGACCAAGAAAGTGTGTCCTGCCCCTTTCATTTCTCCGCCGAACGATCCGAAAGCCTGTGCACGCTGGAACAGAAACAGGGACAGCGCCAGTAGTAGCAGCAGCAGCAGTAGCAGGGGGGACCAGTAGCCAAGCTGCTCTAGCTGCCCAGTCGTGTAGGTACATACATACTGAGTAACTAACTGCCTTCCACATCTGGTGTTGAGAAGAGTCCTGACACCTTAGTGAGTGAATCCCCTGTCGGCCTGTGACGGCAGAGCACATACATAACACAATGTTCAGAACGTCCAGCCACACACGAGAAGAGAGAGAAAAAGTGCAAATCTACAGGGGGAGGGCCAGTGCTAGCGTTGAGCTCAGCCCCAGCAGCAGTAGCAACACCGGTTACCTATCGTAGAATGGAGCAACACCACCACCCACAACAGGGTCTCTCTCTACCCAAAAAGCGTACAGGACCGCACCAACCAATTGTCCGCACGTTCTAGCCTGTAGCGTTGATTGCCGACCAGGTTTCAAGGCTAAGCTCTTGAGAAACGGCCTGCTGCTGCTGCTGCCAGGTGCCTGCCTGTCGAAGTAGGAGAGAGGCCCTAGGGATTCACGGTGGGTGAGGTGAGTAAAGTGCAGTTCGAGAAGATGGGATTTGCCTGCCCAGCCTGCCGACAACCAGGCTTACAGCGGCTTTCTTTTTCCCTCCCGCGTACGCATGCATCGGGAGAATGGTCTTCTTTGTTTCTTTCATCCGATTGTGTCTTTCTCCCGCTTCTTTTACGGGGGAAGCAACGAGAAGAGAAGAGAACAGAGAACACACGCACGCATGTAGTACATGTGGTTTTAAGAATAGCATCCCAATCAACCCAGTAGACTACATGTCAATCGAGGCAGTGATGCAATTATCCAGTCCCTTCTCCAATACCACCTCTAATCACATATAACCACATAATCGGCACTCACGGCATTTCCTCTGGCTCAGGTTTGTCTATTTCTCGGTTAATCGCGATCCATCTTCCAACGATTTGTATGTAAATACACGTACCTAGGTACGTGCCAATCATTATTATTACCCAACTCTCCGCGCGCCACAAGTGACACCTGCGCCGCCCGTTGTCGTCGCCGTTGTCGTCCTAGTTACGGTGAGCTTAGAATAAACAAAACTTCCGGTAGGGTTGTTATTGTTTCTCTGCGCGTAGCCGGTCCACGTAATCATAGCATGTTGTGTTGATGTTCTTATCGGTAGCTGGCTGCTACTACTGCTACGCCTTGCGACCAGGAAGGAACACAGGACTATCACCATCGCCATCGCCATCGCCGTTAGCTGCTATTGTGATTTGAAAATCTGCAATGACATCAGCTATACTTTAGTGTAGTCAAATTGAACCTCATTTCCAAGATGACCCAAAGACTCGTCTCTTTTCGTTTAGCGACAAGGTATACTACCCTAGTTCCCCGATCCAGTAATCGGCAGCAGTCAGTGAGCCCAAATCCTGTGCCGGTGTGCCGGAAGCTTGTTTAGTTTCAATGTTTACTTGTTACACTAGGTAGAATGAGAAAAGCGAAATCCGGGGGTTGGATAGGATGCGGAGGAAACGGGTATTTCCATTTCCCTCCCTGGGGTTGGATGTCGCTGTTTCTTGGTTTTGGAAACATTGGCCATGGGGCGTATGGGTTGCTATTTTTGAGGCCAGCATTGTACTATTAGTGTGGGTAAAAAGTACGGTGGGAGGTTCAGATAGAGTAGAGTACATGAAGGCCGGCTGATTGTGTGGTAGACACAGACAGGTATGGGTACATACATGTATGTATGTAATCAGAGTAAGGTGCCTTCCTCCGAGCCACTGTCGCCTCTACAGTGACCGTCATTGCGTTCGTTTATCGCAAGGCTGAGCTGGAAGTGTGGCGGAAACAAAGACTTTGAATCTTCACAGGGAGCTGATGGAATTCATGATTCTCGAACTCCATTTTGGGAGCCTTCAGAACCGTAGCGATCGTGGCTGTGGCTGTGATGGGCGAGTGAGAAGTGGTGCTTCCTGCTACGACTATGTGGCTCGGAGACACCTAACCCTCCATCCCTGCAACGCGCGTACTTTACTGACCCCCGCTTCGCCCAGCAATTTAAAATAAAATTAGAGTAATTCACCGCCCCAGCGATCACTCTACTTCTCTCCTATGTCATGATCATGTATTCCGGTAAGGGAGGCATGAAAATTATTGTACGGAAAGCTCGAGAACGGATCCGGAGTATCTAGAACAAAATCACCCGAGCACTACATGTACTTATAATGAAACCGACGCAGCTTTGCGCTGAGATTAAGTTTTCCAGTGTCTGATCGCAGATCGATCCTCAGATTCTCCAACTAAAAAAAAAAAAAAAAAAAAGACAAGTCTCAACTCTATTTACTCGCTAAATTTAAAACTGCGAAAGAGATGATACAGTACATACCGCCAAGATGCTGCCAATGCCCGGGCTACGTACAGGTATGTAATGTAAAGCAGCTTCCAAGAAACCCACATGTGTGATGTGGCAAATTGTGGGAACGGGAGTGTCTGGCTTCCAAGTTCCTGCACGTGCGCTTGTTTTAGGGAGTGCAAGGGGGAGTTTCGCTCAGTAGTGCGAGAATCAGGATGGTGTCATTGGCCCAGGGAGAGCCTGGAGGGTCTTGGGCTTGTTGGACCTTGGTCCTGGTTCCTTGGTGTTGAAATAAGCACACGAAATGTCGAATAGAGTGAAGTCTCGAAACAGTTCTCTCTTCCCTTTCCTGGAGATGTTGTAGCCTGTAAGCCGCTAACCTGAGATCTTCTCTCTGGATTGGTTTCTGGATAGTTTCGATCTTTGTCTTTGGAGGCATTTACTGCGCGTGTGCACGTGTTTGGGTGAGCTCTCATGATTACATATCTTTGCCAGACGCGGGGGACCTTGGGAGGGCCACGTGTAGGTGTAATTAATTGTGCAGTCTTGGGTTATGAGGATCGTCCTCATTGGCGTTGAGAGATCAACCGAGGTTGTAATTGATTTTTAGATTATGGCTTGTACATACATGTGGTGAGTCCTGGCTTCAACCGCCAAACAACCTTTGAGATGCAGGGTGTAAGCTTCATGTCATCAGTCTAAGGCCACTAAAGATCAGCCTTCTATGGTAGAGTGCAACTGACTTTTATAGGAGTGTTAATATGAAGATACTGGAAAAGATAAATAGCCGATGCTGCGGAACAAAGCTAATTACGATAAGAGGGTAGTTTGGTATCCGTTTAAGGGGATCATTGAAGCTATGCTGGGGGGGGGGGGGGGGGGGGTTCGATTGGTGAGAACGCTACGATAATTGCTATTCAGAGCGCAGATTCATGAGACTGAAGCGAATCGTATTGTATTGGCTGATAATCAGCGAGAGTAAGAGGAACAACCCATTTTTATAAAGATATTGTAAGCAAACACGCATTATCAAGACGACCAGTCTCGTCATCTTGACACTGGCACTCATAACAGGTAGCTAAGGCTGATAAAAAACACCAAGGTAAAATTGTCAACAGGTTGATACATCTAGGTCTTTAAATCATTTACGAGATATCTGGGGCAGCAGCTATACCCCCTTGCATGGAAGGGCCAAATATTTAGCTCTCTCTCCTATTATTTAGAGGAGTGCGAGTGATATATCGTGACGTTGAGATTATCAACATGCGCAGCCAGGTTCGCCCCCCCCCCCTCCCCCCCCCCCCCCCCCCGGTTCGCTCTGATACTTGGGGTTGCACCTTGTATCGTACAACTCTGGAGAGGCGTTCCCAGATCATTCACCGCCCTACTTTCCTGTAACGAGGATGTAGTTGTGCACGTACAGGTCCAATAATTGCAACTAATATCAAATAGGAGATAATCGACCGAGCGGGGAGTAAGTGGGATCCCACATTTGGCGAGGCGAATAAGCACCCGGCACAAGACCGTGGTGCGACCCGACCGCATAATTTGGTGGGACATGTGTCTCTCTATTTTGTCTAGAGAACATAAGAATCTACATGAGCTTGTTGGCAGTGAGATTAGTAAGTGCGTGTTGTGTTACGGGGTGAGTTTTTGGCTTTGAATTATATAAGTAAAATAGTGCATATCGTATAATCCGTTGTGGTGTAATGGTTAGCATCAGCCGCTCTCACCGGCTAGATCGGGGTTCAATTCCCCGCAACGGAATAAAATGTCTACTTTTTTGCGCTTTGGGAAATACTTATTCATAATATTGGGATGTGCATGGAGTTGCCGACTTCTGGTATTTTTTCCTCTTTGGTAAAGCCTCACCGGTATAAACCGCAACTAACCAGGCTTGGCACGTGACAAAAGGTGTAATGTCAATGATTACTTTGACGTGCTTTGTAACCTCCTCTAATTAAAGGTATTATTAATACCTGAGTAAAAGAAAATATGGGTTCCAATTCTAGAAGGAAATTAGAATTCCAAAACTTCAGTCACCAGATCATGTAGTAACGTGTTTCACCGGGAACGCAATCGGCACCGGGAAAGCAAACAAGCATGACATGAACGGGATCGCAAATTACTGTGAAAATTCAAAATCACCCAGAACTACCGAACTAAATACACTAAAGCCACCACGGAGATATCTTTCGAACATTTCTGATGATCGTTACTAATAGGTAGTGAGTATATAGCTGTGGGAGGGCCGTTAAGCCTTGATAACCCTCCCACAGCTATATATACATACTCACTACGATCATAAGAAATAGTCAAAAACACAAAAAGAACTCTCCTTTATATATATGTATGGCTTCATATGTATTGTTTTGATGCTCATGATGCCCTTCTGTGAGGCTCGGTTGCTTTCTCGAGTGCTTAGATTAATACATGTAGATTAGAGGAGTTTTTCTTTTTTTTTTGTTTAACTCATTAACTAGATTAGAGGAGGTGGGGTTTGCGCTATTATAAAATTTGGAAGATCTGACATGGAGATAGTGATACAGGTATGAAGGCGGGTGTTTTAGTCAAGTTAGTTAAATCTGCTCGCCGGATTGAGAAGAGGAGAAGCGCAACTAGGTCTAAGGCGATGTATTACGCTAGTCGTTGAAGCTTTCGCGAGTATTAATCTTTAAAGGTAGAGTATGGAACGGGAAGGATTTGTACATTATCATGGGCATATCAAGTTGTCTGGGATCGGATATGTATTCCATATATCATTATTGACTGTAGCCACAAGCATTTCTCTAGGTGTGTGACTAGATAAAAAGGAATAAATAGCTATGTTGACCACGCTTGAATTGCGGTGAATCTATTACTGTGGAAATTACATCTACATATTTCTATCCATTTGGGTGAGTTCAGGCTATACCCACTGAGACAGCATTTGTATATGCAGTAGGGCAGCTATTGGTAAGACTGCTCGAACATTGATAATTCAGGAATAAATACAAAAATATTGCTCCAATGTGCAACCGCTTACTCAAACAACTCTTGCAGTACCTGCCTCAACGCTGATGCAAATAATTGGGCGGAGTTGTGAGGCCTCGCTCGCTTCATCATCTCCGCGAGAATCCAATTGAAGTCTGCAGCCATGGCCACCCCCAGTTCCCGCTTTAGATTTTCCATCCGGGACACCAAGCCCTTGCTGCTAAACTCTGTTTCTACAATCGCAGCTTGCTTCAAACCAACCTTGTATACGCCTTGGAAATCCTTTAACAATCTGTATCTCCCAGCCAATTTCCACTTGTTCTCCTCAAGACCGCTGTGTGACAGATTGAGACTTTCAAGGAAGCCCTCCCGGGATGATTTTCCATCCTCCAGGCCATTTTCGAGCCAATCAGCGTTGGAGAGAAAATACCGAGAGGCACAAAGAAAAAATTCTTCATGGCTAGCGACAGTAGGAATAGCGGTTTCTACACTAAGTTCGGATATATCTACCCACAGAACCATCATTAGTTAGGTTTTCAAGACTGAAGATGAGAGAAGATAGGTGGAACATACGTAATGGGAAGATATCTATATCAGTAGTTTGACAACCATTCTCGGTGGCGTCAACAAGAAGTGGCGTATGTTCTACTAAGGAACGCTTGCAATCTGGACAATCATTGTCTCTAGCGCCACATTGGAACTCGGCAATATGACCACAACTCAATGTAGCACTTGTAGGTGCAGTGCATTTGAAATCGGCGAGTAAGTGGGTCAAATGTGAGTGACAAGGCTGAAGACACACGTGTCCACAAGATAGTACCTCGGAGCAAAGGGAGTGACAATTCCCAAGTTGTTTCAACCTTCTCCAATCTGCCAGAGATCTGATCATATGTACCGGACCACTGTGGCGGCTGCAGTGTTGGACTGGCAAGTCCTGAGTAACCATCCGATGTGCCTTCATGTAACGGATAACTTTATTCCAAGAGTCTTTACTATTCTGTGCAGTGCCTGCATTGCCAAAAATGTACATCCCATGGCGTGCTCGTCTGAATAAAGTTAGCCAAATGAAAACTCCCAGAATACCTAAACTTACGAGAGAGTGACGCAGGCGCGATTCGTAATGTCCGTGAATCCCAGGCGTCCAGCATTATTGCTGCGGACAGCAGAGTAAAGGATAATATCAGCTTCCTGGCCTTGGTAATTATCACTGAGTTACAACTGTCAGTCTGGTACTATTACTGCTGGAGAATTAGTGGTACGTACATTGTGGTAACTTGCACCGCATCCGAGATATGAACATTAACGAATGTGTAATCTTTCAGTTCAGACTCTAGTGGGGGATTGTATTCAGCGTTTCTCCCAACGAGACAGCTCATGTCTTCGGCCGGAATGACAAGACCAAATGCCCCCTGTTTCTGGAGGGACCTATTAATCACGGAAATCTGTTCGCGGTATGGTGTCTGCGTAATTCGTCAGTAGGTTTCCAGGTATGAAATTAGTGTGTCAAACATACAAGTATCACTATATCGCGAATTCCAAATTCTCCAGATTCGATTAAATGTGCAGCATATGCTGCAATCATATCGGCCTCATGAATATTGTAGTACGACGTTCCGGAGAACGATTCATTTGACTTGTGGTCTAACCATAAGAGATTCTTGCCCCCCATCCCGGGAACGTCAGGGTAGCACTTGACGTTATCACCATCCATCAAAGTTTTGTAAAGTCCCAAGGAGCGTACAAGACCAGCAATCTCAGGCCGCATTCTTCTTTGACAGTCAAGCAGTGCAAGTGGTATGCTGCTAGGGATTCCTGCGCTTGGAGACAATAGCCTCTCAAATAGGGATTGATCTTGTTTATAATAGCCGCCTGCAAGTTCAGGAGTACTGCAGAAAGGTCTAAGAAGATGTTAGTAGATTTACAAATAGGAGGTGAATCAAACAGTACTTTAGCTGCTTATGATCTCCGATCATTATCAATTGCTGCAGTGTGCTTCCAAAAATTGGGAGCACCATTGACTCAACAATCTCACCAGCTTCCTCAACAATAGCCACCTCTATCTTCAGATGCCTCAAAAGTTCCATGTCACTAGCCGCTCGAGTAGACGTACACGCAACAACATCAATGCCTGTGGTTTGAAATTTTTTAGTAAAGCCATTGTCTGTCGGACTCGAAAAAAAAGCAGAGATTTACCAAAGTCAATCATCTTGGCGGCGTTTTCCTTCGCCAAGTTGATCTCCATCTCACGGTTTGACCGCTGGAGTGAAGCTCTCGCTGATTCAATATCATCATTGAGAGTAGTGTCAAGAGCATGTTTCCATCCACATATAAGATCCCGACGCTCACTAGGAGTAAATTTCCATAGATCAAGAGAGCCGTCTACCTCCTCTTTGCGGGGGAGTTCTTGAGAGCAAATCTCAAGTTCCTCTATTTTTAAGCCCGAGCCCTGAAACCCCTGAGGAATTGTGTACTTCAGTCCTGCAATTAGAGAGGCTTCTTCGATCTGAGGCTTATCACTTGACCAGGAAATGAATCCGTCGGCTTCATGCCCATCACCCGAGAGTTTGAGAAAAGCTTTATAAAAGCTTGTATGTTCTTTCTGAAGGAACGGTCCAAGGCGACTCCACGCAACAGAGGAGTTGGTATACTCACCTATAAGGCACTCAAGCTCCTTGCTAGATGCCTCTGATTGCCAGCGGGCTTGATTGTAAGCTCTACGGATTGGATCGTAAACATCTCTCGGGAGGACATGAGTTTTGTACGCGACGTGGTCAGGCTTAGGAATCGCATGGCCGGGGGTGACACCCAAGCGAGCAACCTTGAGACCACACTTAATGTATCCAGTTATCGTCTCATCTAGTGCATGATTTGTTTGAGCTCTAGCAAGGATGTTAGTAATATTTTGTGATTGTGCTAAATGAAGACGGAAGATTACGTTAAGAGAATCGGCGTTGTCTTATCCTTGTTCCAGGCACGACGATTGATAGCGAGCATTTTGATAATTGATCTGCTGATGAAAGACTTGCCAGTCCCTAGAAAACCATTAGCGGTGTTGTCTGGGCAGGAGAAACAAAATCGTGGCATATCATACCTGGAGGGCCCTGAATAAAGGACAGACGGGAAGTAAATGAATTGATGAGCGCATGTATCTGACCCATAGTAAAGATTATTCCAAAAGAGCTTTTCTGAGAAAACTGTGTTTTAAGTGCAGTTAAAAGCTCTAATCTCGCTCGTCCTGAGCCAAATTTGGTTTTAGATTTGTACCCGAGGGAAGAAAAGTCGATCTCCCGGGCCTGTAAATAATCTGGGATGTGGAACATCATCTCTGGGATTTCCTTCTGGAATAAATTCCTGGCGAAGTACGAATGCTTATTACTTTCAAACCTTTGAATAGTGGAAAGAACATGGATAAAGGTGGCCGGAAGAACACCGCCAAAATCTACCAATACGCATGCGCCCTGTTTGGAATGCAGAGCAAGAACTTTTTCCAAGTCCTCTTTTTGGGTAGATTCATTGAACATCTTAACATTCACTCGACCTGCATTATTGTTAGTATTATTAAGATGATGAGACCAAGAGCGCACCTACCAATATCAGAGATCTTCCCGTGTTCATCCTTGTTTGACCAATCTTGAGTGGCTTGTAACCAAACTAACGAAAGATCCTCATCAGACTGAATTAAGAGAGCCAAGAGATGACCATTGCGGAGAACAGTTTCGTTGTGAATCTGCTCTTTGGCAGGTGCCACGAACCAAAGACCAAAGTTAAGAACAGGGATTTTGCATTGTTCAATG